CTGCCCGGGGAGGACGGGCTCGGGCAGGCAGGTGGCAGGGTCGTGGGCTGGCCGCAGAGGGCTGCCTCCCTGGGAACAGAAGCCATCAGGGCCGGACCTGGGGGCCACCCCAGTGCCAACTCGCATGCCCCCCAGTAACCACGGGGAGTGCTCATCCCCTCCCCCGCCCACCGAGCTCCTCCAAGTCCCACTGCCCAGCCCTCTGACAGCTGAGAGGGCCGCAGATAGGTGTGGCACCCCACTGTCCCAGGGCAAGGGCAGCCAAGCTCGCTTCCCTGCGCCACCACAGCCCACAGCCCAGCTTCCGGGGACGCAGAGGCCCTCCGGGCGGTTCCAGGCAGCAGGCGCCCAGCCAGGGCCAGCCGGCAGCAGGAGAGGAGCCGCCCTCAGAGGCAGCAGTTAGCAACCAGGTCATTAAATCTGCAGCAGCTCCCGGCACCTGATCCCTGACCCGGGCCTGGATCCCAGTTTTCCCGTGTAACCCTAGCCGGCAGGCGAAGGGGGACCCAGAGAATGCGCGCCCCCATGGCAACGGGGCTGCCCTCCGGTGCCCCAGGTTTCCGAGGCCCACATACTTCCTGCCTACCGAGAAGGTGCCGTCTGTCCCTGGCGTCACAAGTGTGCAGGTGGCCCGCTGCGAGCTCCCCTGGGCAGCCACCAGCCCGCCCCCCGGCCCGGCCAACAGCCAGCCTGGGCGCAGACCAGCTCAGCCGGGGGCCCCCAACAGTCCAGAGCTGCAGGAACTGCAGTGGGATGGCCAGTGCGCGCCGGCCGGCCTCGTCCTCCCAGGCCATGGCCCCCCAATGCTCTCTATCACCAGGGGAAAGGCCCTTGGGCAGAGGGCACCCAACCTCAACCCCACCCCGCCAACGAGCCAGAACCCCAAGCCTTATCTAAGCCGAGTTTCATCCCCGGGCTCTTGCGGCCCAGACCTGCGGTGACACTGACGTCGCGAGGAGACGGGGCCCCACGGGAGCCCCAATGCCACGACACCCGGGCTGGACCCGGACCCCGCTGGGAGACAGCAGCACAAAGCGTGCTGCGCCAGGTGCGCCGGGCTCCAAGGTGGACAGAGGGCCCACAGGCCAGTCGGGGCCTCCCTCTCTCCCCCAGCGACTAGTGCCGCGCCCCAGAGCACCCCACTCTAACAGCCTGCCCCCAAGCCCACCAGACGCTCCCACAACGTCAAAAAACGCAACTGCTCCGAACAGCAGTGACCGGGAGCGGGCCTTGGCGTGCG